GAATTCCCCGGCGCAGCCGGCCTGCGCGCCCATTGGGTCCTCTCCGTCCGTGACGTCACACACAGGGGAACGGGAAAACCCCCGCGCGTCACGTGATGGCGGGGGCGGGGCCGGCCGGGAAGAGAAGGTTTGGTGCTGTGCAGGGGCCGGGGTAGCGTGGATCCCTGCCCATTGCTTGGAGGAGACAGTTGAGGCCAGCTTGGGACCATTTACGCCCTACCATGTGCAAGCCGGGAAACTGGGCACCCCCATGCGCTCTCAATAGGACTTCAGCCTGCTGTTTGTCAGGCTGCGTAGGGTGTCAGAAGCGGGAGATTACCAGAACCCTACAGCTGCCACTGATGATCTTATATGTACAAATCTTAATGTACATAATGTACTTAATGTACTTAATGTACAAGTGTTTTGATTGCCGGTATATTTACTAGTGTGTGTGTAGTGTCCACAAAGCCCGGGAGAGGGTAACAGAGCCCCCATGTGGGTGACGGGAATCGAACCCCGGGTCCTCTAGATGAACAGCAAGTGCTCTTAACCCCTGAGCCACCTCTCCAACACAATATATACATATTTAACTTAACTTTTTGTGATAAGATCTCATGTAGCCCAGCTCTGAGCTCTGTGTAGCCGAAGATGCCCTTGAACTTCTGATCTTCTTGCCTCCATCTCCCAAGTGCTGGGATGACAGGGATGTACCATCATGAGTGGTTTACGCAGTGCTAGCGATCGAATCTAGAAAGTTTCATGCATGCTAGGCAAGCACTCCACCAACTGAGCTACAGCCCCAGCCCCTCGACCTCTTTACGACGTCAGTAAAATCTGCACATTCCACTCCTCTTCTCTTCTTGGTCTATATATGATTAGTGCTTCATGAAACATACACTTAACTAAGCACCTGCTGTATGCCCCAGCCTGCACTGAATCTTAGGGCACAGCATTCATGAAGCCAGATCCAGTGCCTGTTCCAAGGAGGCAGAAGATTGTGGCAATGAATGAGGTATAAACCAAAAAGACCATTATACATTGTTTTGTTTTTGCTTTGTAGCCTAGGCAGGCCTCAGAGTCATGGCAATCCTCCTGCCACAGCCTCTTGAGTGCTGGAATCACACGCATATGCTACCATGCCCAGCTAAGAGCAAACTTTTTCTGGTAAAGGGGTAAATGGTAACTATGTTAAGCTTAAGCTTTGAGAGCCAGGTGAGCTCCATTCTCAAGTACACCATTGCACAGAAACAGTTAAAGACGATGCATGATCAGGAGTGTGGCTATGTTCTAATTTCATATAGCTTTCATGTGAAACAATATGTCCTTTTGTTCACAGATGGATAGCAAGGTGGAAGGGACAGACACCTCCCATGGTGAAGTTCTGATCACGTTCATGAACCACACATGGATCACCATATATTTTTCTTTAGATTCTTACAACTTAAAAATGTAAGGCATCCCAGCACTTGGGAGGCAGAGGCAGGAGGATCTCTATGAGTTCAAGGCCAGCCTGGTCTACATAGTGAGTTTCAGGACAGCTGGGGCTACAGGGAGATAAAAAAAAAAAAAAAAAAAAAAAAAAAAAAAAGTAAGGCTGGGGATGTTAACTTGATGTTAGAATGCTTACCCAGCATGTATGAGGCCCTGGGTTGGATCCCTACCAGCACACAAAAATAATAATGTAGGCTGGAGAGATGACTTAGCAGTTAAGAGAATTGGCTGCTCTTTCAAAGGACCTGGGTTCAGTTCCCAGCACCCACATGGTGGCTAACAGCTATCCCTAACTCCAGTTCCAGGGGACTCTGACACCCTCTTCTGGCCTCTGACATGCACTTAAATACATGGAAGCAAAACACTCATACACATAAATAAATAAATTACAATGTAGCCAGGCATGGTGGCTTGTGCCTATAATAACAGTACTGAAGAGACAGAGGCAAGAGTTTCACTACCAAGTAGTGAGTTTCAAGCCAGCTGTGACTGCATGGCAAGAGAGAGAGAGGAGAAAAGGAAGGATAAAGAAGTAGACCCACGGGGTGGAGAGATGATTCAGCTGTTGAAAGCACTGACTGCTCTTGTACAGAACCCAAGTTTGGTTCCCAGCACCCACATGGCAGCTCACAACTGTCTGAAACTCCAGTTCCAGAGGTTCCAAAGCCCTCTTCTGGCCTCTGTGGGCATTACACTCTTGTGGTTCACATACCCACATGTAGGCAAAACACACATATACATTAAAAATAAAAAGTAAGGGGCTGGAGAGATGGCTCAGCAGTTAAGAATCTGGACTGTTCTTGCAGAAGTCCTAGGTTTGAATCCCAGCACCCACATGGCAGCTAACAACTGTCTGTAACTCCAGTCCCAGGGGATCTGACAGCCTCTTCTGTCCTCCACTGGCATTGCATGACATGGATGCACTTACCTACATGCAGGCAATACACACAAATTTTTTTTTTAAAAGAAGCAAAATCAGGGGATGGGACCTGTCCTAGTGGTAGAGCACCTGCCTAGAATCCCCCAGTGAGGAGCTGGGGTGTGGCTCAGTGGTAGAGTGCCTGCCTAGCATGCAAGAAGACCTGGGTTGACTGTCCAGCATCAGAACAAAGCAAGCACCAAGTTAGGCATGATGGGTTGTACCTATCATCCAGGGGCTGAGGCAAGGGATGGCAAACTCAAGAGCAGTGTGACAGCCAGGCATTGTAAATCACACTGATAATTCTAACACTTGGAAGGGTGTGGCAGGAAGATTGCCATGAGTTCTTGGCTAGTGTAGGTTACATATAGCAAGACCCTGTCTCAAGTTAACAGTCTTGCAAGAGAAGTTGTGATTTGAGGATCCCAAATCCAATGCACAGTTCAAATTACTAAATACATGTCATAGTTCTTTGTGTGACTTTGGAAAAAATTTTTTAGGCCAGGCTGGCCTTGATTCCACAGAACTCCACCCATCTCTGCCTCCTTAGTGCTGGTATTGAAGGCCTGCACTTGGCAATTTTTTTTTTTTTTGAGACAGGGTCTCCCTGTAGCCCCAGCTGTCCTGGAACTCACTATGTAGACCAGGCTGGCCTCGAACTCAGAGATCCTCTGCCTGCTTCTGCCTCCAGAGTGCTGGGATTAAAGGCATGCACCACCATGCCTGGCCCTGTCATTGTTGTTTTAAACAGGGTCTCCTAAAGCCTTGGAGATCCTCAAACTCACTAGGTAGCCCATGCAAGTCTTGAACTCCTGATATTCCACTCCCTGCTCCCAAGTGCTGGGATGACAGGCATTGTCTGCCATGCCTGGCATCAAAGCTGAGTTTTGTTTAGCCCATGTTGGCCTTGAATTCCAGATCCTCCTGCTTCAGCCTCCCAAGATGAGATGACATGGCTATGCCCAGCAGTGCCCAGTGTTCCTGCTGGGCTCTGAGCTCCACATAGCTGGTCTTGGACAGCCTTAGTCCCCAGTGTATATGGCACACTCCCCAAGTGCTGTCTCTGCCCAGGGTAGGGCTCAAGGAGCACCTGTTAACTATACACTGCAGACTGGCCCACCAGTGTTCCAGTCAGGGCACCATGGTGCCCATTTCTGGATGTGCCTATGTCTGTGAAAGTGAATGGCACCACAGAGGTGCTGGGACACAGCAGCCATAGAGAACCCTGGCATGACCTCACAAGTCTTGGTCCAATGGAGGAACACTATCTGCCACTTTGCTGTGATGCCCTGACCTGGGCTGTGAAAGCTCCAGGACCTGGCTGTAAAGGAGGATGTGCTGGAAGAAACACATGGTGCAACATGATGGTGCTTGGGCACCAGGGAGCAGGAGCCATGAGCCTGTACTGTTCAAGGTAGGGAACAGCGTAACACAGCCTAGAGGTGAAGCTATAGCAGGATGTGAGGGCCCAAGGGCTTGTATGAGTATGTGGGGTCCAGAAACTCCTAATATCTTGTTAGGAGCTTGCATTTTTCTGAGGACACTAGGGAACCATTAACAAATTCTGAGCAGATTCAGGGTTGTGCCGTTGGGGTTCTGGGGTAGGGCTACAGCAAGAGGCCAAGTGACCCCCCTACCTGCCTCAGCAGGGCAAGGAGGCAAGTGGAGCCTGAAGGAACCTAGGGGTCCTTGGCCCTGGGTCTCTTCCCTACAGCATGGATGAGTGGGAACACAGTCAGCATCCCAGTGGTTCCCTACAGTTGGTGAGCTTTCCCAGCTCATGGGACTCGGCGGGGAAGGCCCAGGGGCCACCTACTGAGAGCTCAGCTGGGTCCTTGGGGACAACACCCCTACACTTAGAGGGTACTACAGCATCACCTGAGGATTCACTATACCGCTGCAGTGTGGGAGATAGGTGCATGTAGGCCCCATTCAGGTGCCCCTAGTTGAGGGTCAATCCCTCTTAAGGGTGGTTTTGGACGGTGTCCAGGCCCTGGACATAGCACATGTGTGGAAGTCACAGGACATCTTGTGAAGTCTGATCTCTCCTTCCACCTTTACATGGATCCAACTCAGGTTATGTGGTCTCCTGGTACCCATCAGATGCAGCATGACCTCAGGACTCCAGGCTCACACAATTCCCTTTACCTGCTGAACTATCTCACCAGCCCATTCCATCTCAGATACGGTCTTATGTAGCCCAGGCTGGCTTTCAAGCTCACTAGGTAAGCAAGGCTGACCTTGAACCACTGCTTCTCCTGCCTCCACCCCTCCATTACAGATCACAGGCATGTGCCACCATGCTTGGTTTATACAGTGCCGTGAACATAAGGCTTCATGTATGCTAGGTAGGTAACAGCTGAGATACAGCCCAGGCCCCTATTCTGTCTTGTACCCCCAAGTCTCCTTCTCAGATCTCTGAGGCAGCTGCACACTCCACACAAGACAGGCAGAGGAGTGCAGTGGTTGAGCTTAAGTTAAACACCCATATGAATTTATTAAATCCAGACTCTTAAAGGGTGGCAATCTGGGAGTGGGCAGTCAGGGAACGAGGGACAAGATGGAGGACCGCAGGTGTCCCACAGAGGGATCCTGGCCCCTCCCCTGCTTGGCCCACCCTCTGCACCGCATTGGCTTCACAATTCCCGATGGTGCTGGTCTGGCAGGGCGAGATTTCTGGAAACAGACAGGAACAGACGAACAGACGACAGACAGACGACAGACAGTGCCTCCACACATAGCAAGCCCCGGCCTGCCCGGTCCCATCTTATACTCTGGGCCCTGGCCAGAGAGGGCCTCCTGCCACCCCAGCCCGATCTGTCCAAGGAGAGGGCAGCAGGGAGGGGAGGCGAGGGGCAGGGGAGGTGGGTGGTGGTCACCAGGAGCAGATGAGGAGGACTGAGTGGCTAATCCTTTTTCTTATCCTCTGCTGGCTTTGGAGGCGTTTCCCCGGGCTGGCTGGTGGGGCTGGCCCCAGGGGTGGTCTTAGGGGCTGTGGAGGCATCCTCTCCTGTGACAGTTGTGCTGGGCACCGGTGTGAGGGCCCCTGCTACAGCAGGTGCCTGGGCCCCAGATGCCACTGCTGAGATATCCTCTCCGCTCATGCCGAACTCATTTACACGGGTGGGGTCGACGCGGTAGATCCACCGTTGGTAGAGGTAGATGAAGAAAACCACATCTAGAGGAAGGGGCTACGTGAGGAACAGAGCCCACCCCTCTTCCTCCACCAGGGCCCGAGGCCTCCCCTGACCACTGGAGGGAGCTCTGTGCTTCCTAGGCCTCACCATCCCGCAGGCAGCCAATCCGGTACATGACAGGCATCTTAATGACAAAGGCGAACAGGTCATCGATGAAGGTGTTGAGGGCCTTGTAGGTAAGCATGCGCCATGGCAAGTGGGCCACGGACTTGAGCTTATAGTTGATGAAGAGCTGGGGTGTCATGGTGATAAAGCCTGCAGGGGTGACAACGAACACCATGACCAGCCACCCCAGCTCACTCTGCTCCAGCCATCCTGGCCTACTGTACCACCCCAGGTACAGCCTACCTCAGGGCCTTTGTACCTGCTCTGGCCTCTGCCACAAGATTCTTTTTGGTTTTGTTTTTTGAGACAGGATCTTAATCTGCAGCCCAGGCTGGCCAAGCTCTCATGGGAATCCTCCTACCTCAGCCTCTCGAGCTTTAGGCTTATAGGTGTAAGCCATTACACCTAGATCTTTGTATGGACCCTTCTGGGCATCTTTCAGGCTTGTTTAAACATCTTCCGAGAGTGGTCCCCAGCCCCACCTAAGTGCACACTGCATTCTGCCCTTCACTGAGCTCGTCACATGCCATGAGCAACTGGCTGCCCTCTGCTTTCTCGGCTCCCACAACAAACATTGCTCCTCTGAGGAGTTAAGAATGGCACTATGCTATTCATGTCCTCCCAGAATCCCTCTCTGACTACAGATGAGGCCAGAAGCCTCCTCAGGCTCCCTACTCCGTGTCTGCCCACCTTGAGTAGTCACTGTCTGGGCGGGTCTGCTTCCCCTTGCTGGCTGTGAAGCCAAGGGGGACAAGGCTTGGCTGCTGAGCTTACTGCAGCAGATTGCATGGGAGCCTGGGCCTGTCAGCTGGCACCGGCCTTCTAGGTGGGGCCTGGTTGCCAGGCTCAGGGCTGTGGCTTACACATATGGTAGACCTGTGTGCAGGCGCAGGCCTCTGGGTGGGCCAGGGCTGGGCCTGCTCACCAAAGGTCAGCAGGAAGCCGTAGAGCATGCTCAGGACCCACGAGTACCAGCCCTTGTGTTCCAGGTACAGGAGGCTATACACAGCATAGCAGCCCAGCAGCGGGAAGAGGATCCATGACAGGTACCGGAACGCCATCTGTGGGGTCATGTGCAGGCTGGGACCAGCTTGGCAGGTCCACTCCTTGCCCTCACCCACCCACACCTGGTTCTGTAGGCTGGGCCAGGGGAATTTCCAGGTGGCCCTGGGAACTCTGGACTCAGCTAGGAAGTAGATGGGCAGGTGGGGGACATAGGGCATGATATAGACCTGGCAGTTGGCAGGCAGGGCAGATGGCCCAGCCCATCCCTCACCAGGGTGGGTGACTTGAAACCACCCCAGGGCTGTAGGGGTCACTCACATCATCATATACTTTGGTGGAGGACTCGATGTATGTGGACTTGTCTTTGAAAATGGGACAGGGGAAGATTCCTGCCACCCTGTGCTCCCGGTCCAGCTAAACACAAGGAAGGAGGCCATAGTCAACTGGGGCCGGCTCCTGTCACTCCCCAGAAGAGAACCGGCCCCTGCCCTTCCCCACTCCTCCCAGTTCCCCTGCCCTGTGTGTGACCTGAAAAATCCCCTGCTGTAAAAATCCCCTAGGTCCTGGGAGCCAGGCAGGCATCGGGAAACCCCCATGGACCCAGGCAGAGTCTAGCTAGGCAGGCAACCCCTCCCCAGGCAGACCCCACAGCAACATGGCACCCGACTCACCCGGACATCCATGACCTTGGTGATCTTCCAGAGGTCGATGAGGACCCCGATGAAGACGCTGACCTGTACCACAAAGTTGGTTTCATTGTCCAGGATGTAGAGGAGGACCACGAAGGACTGGAAAACGCCGAAGAAGACTGAGCGCACTGAAAGGCCCTCCAGCGACTGCCGGCTATTCCAGAACTGAATGTCTGTGGAGGAAGAGGGGACAGACGTGAGCACTCTTCCCTGGCAGGGTATACTCCCCAGAGAAGGGCCATCATTCACTGGGTGCCTTCCCTCACCACAGCAAAGGACAGGCAGGACCTTTCCAATGGTCATATGGGGACAGGAACCCACAGCACCCTGGAGTAAGGTCCCTCAGGTACCAGTGAGGGTAACTGGGTGCTCAGGGCAAATGAGGGAAGCTGTTATCCTGAGGCTCAACAGCCTGGCATGGCAAAACTAAGCAGACATCAGGTTAGTATCCTGTAATGACACCCTGTTGGCAGGAAGATCCAGGGTACGTGCTTGGGGACCCTCCTCTTTCCCACCCCTGAAACTGTGAAGGAACTGGCCCATGGCCACTCAGGGCAAAGACAAGTCCTCATCTCTGGTCTCTATGCAGACACTCATGGGGCCTGGGTTGGCCACATCCCTCTAATTCCTGGTCTCCCGGAAGCCTGAGCAGGCTGAATAACTGTCTGAGGTGTCACAGGGCCAGTGCCCTGGGCCTGGTGTCCAGAGGCCAGGCTAGACCATGGACACATAGGCCTACTAGTACCTAGTGACCCAGGACCATGGACCTTGGTCCACATACCCAACCTACTGAACAGGTCACCCATCTCCTAGGAACAATGGGGCGAACTCTGGGAGCCAAGTGGACAGAAACCCCTCTTGGATCAGGGGGGCAGCCGGCATGGGGCAAAGCAGAGCTTCTGCTGCATGACCCAGTGAGCAGCCACACCTGTTCCCCTGCTTCTCTAGCTATATGCCTTTAACAACTTTTTTTTTTTTAATCTTTTTGAGACAGGGTTTCCCTGTAGCCCCAGCTGGTTCTGGAACTTGCTATGTAGACTAGTCTGGTCTTGAACTCACAGAGATCCACCTGCCTCTGCGTCCCAAGTGCTAGGATTAAAGGCGTGCACCACCACACCTAGCTTAACAACTTAAAAAAATATATTTTATTTACTATCTTATGTGTATGAGTGTATTGTCTGCATGTGTAAGTGCACCTGTGACGTGCAATGCCCAAGGAGGTCAGAAGGTGTCGGATCCCCTGGAACCGTAGTTATGGATGGTTGTTAACCACCATGTGGGTGCTGGGAACTGAACCAGTGTCCTCTGCAACAGCAGCCAGTGCTCTTAACCACTGAGCCATCTCTCTAGCCCTAAGTTTAGTATCTTTTGTTGTTTTTGTTTTACTTTGCAGTGTTAGGGACGGAACCTAGGGCTTCACACATGCTAGGCAAGCCTTCTAGCACTAACCTGTCCTAGGCCAGCAGGACATTAGCCGACAGACTCCCAAGACAGGACATACTAGGGACCTGTCAGTTTGCATGCTACCTTCTTCTAGATGGTGGCTTCTACTCAGGGTCATACTGTCATGACAGTGGTGCCCAATCACTCTGCCACTTCCAGGAGCTTCAGGGCACCCTCCACACCCTCATGTTGTGGGCCACAGGCCTAGAAGCTGACAGAGCAGTTGAACAACTGCCATGGCAGAGCTGTGCAACTGCATGTCCCCAGCTTAACTGAGCCTCTGCCTTCTGGCCTAGAGCTGAGCATGGCAACTGGCTGCTGCAGAACCTGGTATCTGCAGGCGGGGCCTCCCTAATGGGCAGGGCTGGAAGCAGCCCGGGGCTTCCCTGCTCTTGGCCTTGGAGTTCCCCGCCTGCCTTCCTGAGGGCACCACCCTGACCTCTGCCTGGGCAGCAGGCCCAGCCCCTCCCTCAGCTCTGTGCCCAGTGGGGTCACTCTCTGTCCCCAACCTACAAAGCCTCTACAGAGGGCGCTGAGATGCTAGGCAGTGGCAGGTGGCAGGGGTCAAGATCTGGCCCACCACTGGCCTTGATGTCCCAGACCCCGACACATACCATTCTTGAAGGCCAGGAACTCAAAGACACTATGGACGATGGAGACGATGATGGTGAGAGCCAGTAGGTAGGGGCTGGTTTCCAGCAGGGCAACCTGGGGAGGGAGGCCTGTGAGTGCTACTCTGCTCCTATTCTGGCACCCCCCTCCAAGAGCTGGCCTTCTGTTCCCAGGAATCTGAAGTAGGACCTCTGATACCACTCTAGAAATGTATTCCAGAGACCGCCACAGAGGGAGTATGTGGGCTAGAGGAGAGCAGGGAAGATCACAGAGTGAGGGAACAGGAGAGACAGCGATGGGGAGGCATGGGAGAGAGGAAGGGAGGGAAAGGCAGTGAGCGATGGGAGACCTGACTACAACCCCAGTCCCAGGCAGGCACAGCCCAGCCTTAGCAGCACAGAGATGAAGAGGAAAAAGAGGATGTGGAAGAAGTTTAAGGACCTGGTGAGAGAACAGAGGACTAAAGTTGGGAGCCAGGGCAGGTCCAGGCCCATATGGCTTGGCTGAGCAGACAGAAAGCTGGGAGCGAGGTCTCCAGGGTTGCAGGGCTAATTTCCTGCCCATGGCTTGGGGGGCGGGGGGGCAGTTGTGAAACCAGAGCCGAGGGAACACTGGGCTGGAGATTCCACTGCCCCTCAGCCCTCCCGCCCTGCACACCTTCACTGAGTCCTGCTCCTCATCTGACTGCTCATACAGCTCATCACCCAAGAAGTTCCAGGGCGACTTGGTACTCTGAGCGGCATAGAGCTGCCAACGCCACAGTGAGAGTGGGCAGAAGGAGACGCGCAGCGGCAGGCTGGCCAGGCTCTCGTTGATGGGGTAGTAATCCTTCTGCAGGTTCCAGTAGTCGTTGAAGTAGATGATGGGGTAGTAGTCACCGCTCACAGCATCGAACTTCACATCTGTGGGCACATGGACGTGCACTAGTAAGTGCAGAAGGGCCTTCTAGACTGGGCCATGAGGAGAGGCCTCAATAGAGAGGACACAGTAGCTTGGGCAGTGGTCCTGAGTGAAGGCCACTGAGGCTAGTTCCTGGTACAGCGCACACAGGCGGCTGCAGAGCCCTGGCTTTATAGAAAACAGCCAGAAAGCAGGTGTGAACTGACACTTGGACAGGTCTGCAGCCTGTTCTCATCCATGGAGGCCAGTCTTGTTCTCATGAGGGGTGTGAGAGAGAAGAGGGGGAGGATGGTGTAGAGTGATCATGAGTATAGACCTAGAACGGTCTCTCAGGGATGGGGTTGGAAGACAAGGTCACAGGCCCTGAGCTGTCAGCTATGCTTACACTGGTCCAGAGGAGGCGGAACGCTGCCCTTCACCCATGGCGTGTGGTCATCTACGATGTTGATGGTGATGTTGGGGTGCCAGTGGGAGATTACCTCCACAGGTCCATAGTCCTCGGCCCTCTGTGGGGAATCAAGGATGGGTGGTGGGCCTCAAGCAGGCAGAAGGTCCCATGGACTGCAGCCTCTGTCTGCCTATGTCCTCCCATACCATCCAGGACAACAGCTACCATGGTCACAGGTGGTGGGCACACACTGGCACCCATCACGCAGCAAGTCTGTCATCAGGTCTCAGTCCCCACCACGCTCCATCCTCTCACCCAAGAGAGCAGGAGTGTGGAGGCAGAGGACCTGCACAATGCCTAGCTAACTGAAAGCATTTCTGCATCCTCCTTAGGGGACCCACTCCACTCAGGGACCATGTCTCTTGCCCAGGACCATGGGGAAAGGCAGGCTCTTATGCCTTCCAAGAAAAACCCTGGCTTTCCCAGCCCACCAGGAGTCACAGCACTGAAGTTCATGACTTTTGAGTTCTCTTCTCCTGCACCTGTTCTGTACTGGCTCCTTGATATGATGCTGGCCCCACCATCTGCTAGTATGATTTGGAGCAAGTGTCCCCATGTGAAATGAGACTTGTGGTGGGCTCCACGTCTCAGGGCTGACTGTGCTGACTGCCTGAAGTCCTCCCAGAGAAGCCTACAGAGATAGAGGCGGGCACTTGGCTTGACCAAACCTTGCATGTAGCTAGTACCATCGTGAGCCCCAACAAGTGGGTGGCTGGGCCATTAGCAGCCCAACAACCTGCTTCCGTTTACCTTGATCATTTCTGGGTCAGCTTCTGTCTCTCCCGTCAGCAGGTTCTTGGTTTTCTGAAATCGCCTGCGCTTGTATTTGTTGATCACTGAGGACAGGAAGAGGAGGGGGAGGCTTGTGGGCATTTGCAAGCCCAGATGCTAGACCTCTCCCTCCAGCTGTGTTCTGGCCACCTAGTGACGATCACACTTGGGCAACCTTGACCAACCCTTTCGACTTTGGCAGACCACTGCCCCATCTTTACAGGGAAGCCAGTACTTGTCATCACCCAGGCTGCTTTCCCTTCCCTAAAACCTGCTTGGCTATTCTCCAGGCGGGCCAAGGATGTTCTTCCGCCCAGACCCTACAGCAGGCCATTACTCCTTCCACAGGGCCTCCCTCCTGCATGGCTGCAGCCATTTTATTCTTTTGAAACGGGGTCCACGTTGTAGTCTAGACTGGTCTCAAATTCAGGGCAATCCTCCTCCTGCCTTAGCTGCAACTATCAGCAGGAGCTACCACGTCCATCCTGGTGTCCTCTCAGAGAAGACTACTCTGCCCCCAGCCAGCCAGTGTAATTCCTCACAACCCTCAGTCACTACACAAGTACACCTGCCCACTCGTTTACTTGTGTGCTCTGCTCCCTGAACTCAGGGACCTCTCACTGAATACATGACCACATATGGGGAGTCACAGACAATTCCAGAGAAGGCCTTGGGCCACTAATGTGAGAAACCAGCATGAAGCACTTTGAAGCTGTGAATCCCCAGCCACAAGTGGACTCACTTCCTCTTGCTGCCATGACCTGGGTGATGAGGATGATAGGCTGGCCATGTCCTCCCAATCTGAATGCTGCTAGCTCTTCCTTGCGTTGGGAGGGAAAATCGCCTTCTCTGCTGTACCTAGTGATATATGCCAGTACTCCTAGAAGGACCACAAGGCCCCCTGGTCTACAGAGTGAGTTCAAGGCAAACCCCAGGCAAAGTGGTGGGACCCTCTCTAAATAAAAACAAAAAAAAGGCTTGCTAGGCGTACCCCTTTAATTCCAGCACTTGGGAGACAGAGGAAGGAGTATCTCTATGAGATCGAGACCAGCCCAGTTTACATAGTGAGTTCCAGACCAGCTGGGGTTACAGGGAGACTCTGTCTCAAAAAGACAAAAAAAAAAAGGGCTTAAACCGGACAAGGTGGTACATGCCATTAATCCCAGCACTCAGGAGGCAGAGGCAAGTGGATCTCTGTTAAGGCTGAAGCCAGCCTGGTCTACATAGTGAGCTCCAGGTCAGCCAAAGCCATAGGGTGAGACCCTGACCCAAAAAAGAGGGCAGGGGGCTAAGGTATGTCAGTGGTAGTAGAGTCCTTACCTAGGATCTAGCAGTGAGGAGTTGGAGACTTGGCTTAGTGGTAGGGTGCTTGTTTAGCACATGAAAAGCCCTGGGTTCAACTCCCAGTATTGTAGATGAAGAAAATAAATGCCCTGCCCTGCTGAGCTGCGCCATCCCGCCCCCGGGTGGGAGGAGGGAAGGGAAAGCTGCTACCACAGAGTTCTGGGCTAAGATGCTGGCTCTTGTGTTCTATAAGGGATGCTGGCGGATTAGGTTACCTTCTTGGCCCTCAGTCACTCCTGTGGGAATGTGATGTTCTTACGAACACCATCATCTCCATCACTTCTCTATGAACTCATTTGAGACAGGGTTTTGGGGGAAAGAGGGCTTTTATTTTTTGAGACAGGGAATCACACAGACCAGGCTGGCCTTCAGTTCCCTATGTAGCTAAGGATGATCCTTGCTATCTCACAGGGATCATAGGTGTGCACAACCACACCTGGTTAAAATGGTGCTGGGGACAGAATTCAGGATTTCCTGTATACTAGGCAAACGCTCTACCCAGAGCGACATCCACAGCACCCATCTGTGCATCCACACTTTACTTTGATGGGGTGCTTCCTCTTCCTCCCAGCCTAGGACTTTCTAGCAGCCCAGGCCAGGCCTCTGTGCAGGCCACCTCTCCTCTAGCAGTTCTGGTCTCCAACTGTTCTTATTCTCTCCCCCCACCCCTTTCTCTTTTATTCAGACAGGGTCTTACTACACAGCTCCAGCTGGCTTCACACTCACAACTCTAACTCAGTCTCAGCCGCTCTACCCCCTAGCTGGGGTTGTAGGCCAACATCACATACCAGGTTCACTTGCCCTTATCAGCTAGTTCCTGAGTGTCTCAAGCTCAGAAAGGACAGGCAGGGCCAGGTGCCCATCTGACCAATCCCAATTCCCCAGAATGCAGAGCCCCTGCTTGCCCTGAGACTGTGCATCCCTCACTCCAGCCCAGGGTCATCAACTTACTCCGGGACATGTGGACTGTGGCAAGCCGACGGTATAGGGCCTTTTGCCGGGGGTCCGGGTGGAAGCCGCTCTTGGTGAAGTAGACGTGTATGTAGATGGAGCCATTCTGCTGGACACTCTGCAAGAGATGGGCAGCAGATGGATGGAGTGCAGAGTACCAGGCCACAGGTCACCTGCAGCAACAGCTTCCTCATCCCCACAACTCCACAGCTATCTAAAAGCTCAGGGCCAGGAGGGCAGCTGAGCAGTTCTGTACCAGAGGCTGGATCAAGAACCTGACCATGTAAGCTCAGCTTTTCTTCCTGGGCCTCACCTGGAGGGCGCTGGCTACCTCAGTCCTGATTAGGAGCATCACAGTGAGGACTGCCCAGAGCAGTCAGCAAAGTTTAACCTTCTGCTCTGACATCATGAATTGAGTCTCTACAGCTGTGGGCTGACAGTCACAGAGCATGGGAGCCTTGTGCAGTGAGTCATGTCACGACCCTAACTGCTGATGAGGCACCCAGGGCTTATACATAATGCTGTAAGGGATCAGAACCTAGTTTTCAAGAGCAGCCATGGTGCATGGCTGTAATCCCAGCACTTAGACAGGAGGACTGAGAGTTTGAGGCCAGGCTAGTTCACAAAGGAAGACTATATCACAGAAAGGAGAAGAAAAAGAAACCAGTCCATGAGCCCCTGTGATCCCCTTGCCCACCTCAATTCCATGTGGCCCCTTCTGACCAAGCCTTTCTCACATTCTCCCAGGAATGGGGACTCCACACTTAGATGAAGAGACTGAGGCTTTGACAGAGAATGGTGCACTCCAAGGGGGCTCTGGAGAAAGGTGAAGGAAGGTTTGCATCCCCGCTGTCTGACCTTTAGGCGCAGCCTGGCCCACACTGTGTCTGCCCTCTGACCCCATCCAGAGTTTCTCAGGAGATAAGACTTAAGCCCTGGGGACTAGCTCTCACAGTTGGGCCAGCAGGTCCCCAGCCTTCTCAACCTCAAAGGGCCTGGGCTTGACGGCTTAGCCAGTGGTGTCCTGGACTCACAGAGACTGCCCACTCAGTTCCAGCCAGGGCATCTCTCTTCTATCTACTCACAAAGTCTGCTGGGCAGAAAGGATGGGAGTGCCACATGCTCACATGTGCTGACTGGCCGTGCTGGGGGCCTGATGCATGGGCCTATGATTTCAGTTACTACGGAGACTGAGACAGGAGGATTCAAAGTTACAGAATGAGTTCAAGGCCAGACTGGGCAACTAGGTGAGCCACAATCTCAAAATGTAAGGTTAAAACAGATGGCTGAGGCCAGGTAGGATAGCGCACACCCGTAATCCTAGCACTTGGGAAGATGTGACAGGATGATCAGGGGTTCAAAGTCAGCCTCTGCTACATAGAAAGTCCAAGGCTAGCCTGAGCTACATAAGACTGTCTCAAATCAAAACAAAACCCTTAAAACAAACAAAAACCCACCAAGGGCTGGAAAGATAGCTTAGTTGTATAATGCCTGTGTATAGCATGCAAGGGGGTTTAATGGTGGGGTTATTTTTTTTTGGTATTTTTGAGATAGGGTCTCCTTATAGCCCCAGCTGGCCTGGAATTCACTATGTAGACCAGTCTGGCCTCGAACTCAGAGATCTGCCTGCCTTTGCCTCCTAAGCACTAAGATTAAAGGCTTGCACCGCTACTCCCGGCCTTTGTGGTGTTTTTTTGTTTTTTTAAATGGAGACAGGGTCTCATTATGTAGCCCTGGCTGATCTAGAATTCACCGTAGACCAGCTGGCCTCAAACTCACAGAGATCTCTCAGTCTCTACCACCTGAATGCTGAGATTAAAGATATGCAACGCCACACCTGACTAATGGTTTTGTGAGAGAAAGATCTGTCCCTGGAGGACCTAGCATGCCACAATCCTGAACTATGGAAGCCCAGTGGGTTGTGAGACTCCAGAAGTTACTTGAATAAGCTGAAGTAGGCTTTCTGGAAGAAGGCAGGATTTGAACCAAGGGCTGCCAGAGCCAGAGAGTCAAGTCTGAGTGTTCCTTCACTAACTCTTGGCCTTGGGAAAGTTACCCTGCCTCTGCTTACTCCAGCTTCCTCAGCTACCAAACGAGATAGTCAGAGTTAAATGGGAAAGTAGGCTTGCTTCCTCCTTCCCTTCCTAAAGAGAGGGCCTTCTCATGTAGCCCACACTGGCCTTGAACTTGTTATAATCCTTCTGTCTCAATACCCCAAGTGCTAGGATTACAAATCTACTACATCCTAGATTCAACCGGGTCCTGCAGAGCAACTGCTCAGTCAGTTAACCTGTATGATTTGGAAGCAAGGCTGTTTGACAGGGTGGTGCTGCACAGACCCTGGGGAACAGTTCCTGGTGGCTTACTACCTAAAGCTAGGTATCACACCACTCTGGAGGCAGCTGGAGGGCCTGGGCTGATTCGACACCATTCACCTTTTTCAGAAGGGAAGGCCCAGAGACCTCACAGTCGCCCATGGCTACAGAGCCTGGTGCTCCAGATGCGAGAGCCAGGAGTGGCTTGGAGCAAGACTCTAGGCCAGCACCACAGGGCTGCCCACCTGCGGGATGTCGAGTTCTGCAAAGTGCTCATAGCAGCCATCTGAGTTCTCTCCACTGGTCCAATCACCATACACGAGGTCATGCTGCTCCCAGAAGAGCGCTGAGGTGGCATTGAAGTCTGTGAAGTGCTCGTGCTCTGAGATGTACACGTGCAGGTTCTGTGGGAGTGGGAGGGGTGTCAGGGCTTTGTGGCCAAGCCTGGGGGCTGGGGCAGCCACAGTCAGAAATGTTCACCTGCACGGCACTATCTGTGCAAGGAACCTGGTCAAAGTGGACCCTCAACTTTTGCTTTTCTCATATGCTCATCCTGCTCTGAGCTATGACACTGAAGAGCCAAGAGACCCAGCTTAGCAATGACAAACTTGAGGACAGAAGAGAGCAGGGCCACCCTGGATGGCCTCCCAATTGGGGCTGTTGACCTGCATAAAACAATTGGAGGGTCTGTGCCTCAGAAGGGGAGTCAGGCTTAGGGTGTTCCTTCCTGCTCGGGATGGGCTATGTGGTAGTGGCCTCATGACAGTCTGAATGTACAACAGAGCTGCAGAGAACAAGGAGGGACAAGAGGCTGAGGGCTTGGATGACTGTGGTGTTAGTGCAGAAACCTGGTTGATCGCAGCTACCCCTGGCCCCACACCCCACCCTCCACAACCTGCCAAGGCCAAACATGTTTCTGAAATAAAACACTCAAGGATCCTGTTGCAATGAGCGTTCAACAACCCTGTTGCAACAGGCTTTTACTGTCTGCTCCTGGGAATCCTGTTTCCTCACAGTGTCTCCTGGGTGTCATGCATCACCTGCTCTGATGGGCCAGAGAACCTGAGTCCCAACCATCCACAGAACTGACAGAGGTCAGGAACTGCCCCATCCCAGATGCCCTCATCATATCACGTGTCACTCTCCCAGCCCCTCGGATTACAGTGCACCCAGCGTTACCATTAGAGTGTCTTTGGGGAACAGGTTGCGGCTGGCGACGCGTGGGGCTCCTCCGGGGCCTGACTGGTCCTGAGGGGCCGGCCCTCGGCGGAACCAGCTGCTGATGGCCCAGATGATGAAGATCCTGAGAAGGAAGCAGTGACTGGTGAGGCCCTACACTCTCTGACCCACATCCAGAGGACCAGCCTCCAGACCGGCCACCCACTCTAGGGCCTGGTGCAGCTGAATGGCAGGGTTGGTAAGGACAAGGGGCTCTCAAAGGATGTCTAGTGCAGTCACTCTACCCCCTGGGAGACCTAATGAGGATCTAAAGAGTCTAGAATCTTCACACTGTACAGGCACAAAACCTTAGAGCAAGACTTTCCAACTTCAACTGCAAACTAAAGAAGCGGGCAGTAATGGGTTAGTCTTCTTCCATGTGCATGCAGTACCACTGGAGGCCACAAGAGGATGTCAGATCCCCTGGAACTAGAGTTACAGAGCTGTTAGCCACCATGTGGGTGCTGGAACCCCAACCCAAGTTCCCTGAAAGAGCAGCTGGTACTCAACTGCTGAGCCATCTCTCCAACCCCAGATTAGTCTTTAAAGACTAGAAACAGTAAATCAGAGGGTTTGGGGGGGGAGGTTTACTGGAAATTGAACCAAAGCTTCCCACATGCTAGGCAAGTGTTCTACCACTGAACCATACCCCAAGCTCCTCACTAATGGATTCTGGACAAGTACTTTAATACTGAGCTATATCCCCAGCCATTTTTTTATTGCCCCTCTTTTTACCCAAGTTGGTCTTAGATCTCCTCTGAATACCTGTACAATAATGAGGACTAGAGTTCAGATCCCAGCACCCAGGTAATAATCTGGGTATCTGCAAACACTTGTGTCCTGGTTGGCCTTGAGCATAAGCTTGACACAGCCTAGAATTATCTGAGAGAAGCCTCAGTTAAGGAAATGCCTAGATCAGACTGGCCTGTGGCCATGTCTGTGGTGGACTGTCTTTATTAATTGATACAGGACCCAGTTCATTTGGGCAGTACCATACCTGGGCAGGTGGCCCTGAGCTGTATAAGAAAGCTACTTAAGCATGAGTCTATGAGGGAACCAGAGACGAGCTGGCAAGCAGCCCTCTTCCACGGCTCCTGCTCCAGGTCCCTGCCTTGCGTTCCTGGTCTGATGTTCTTCAAATGATGGATTGTGACCTGAAAGTAGAAACCTAATCAACCCTTTCTACATTAAGTGGCTTTTGTCAGGGTATTTTATCATAGTAACAGAAAAGTAACTAATGCAGCCTGTGACTCCAGCTCTGAGGGATCTGACACCCTCTTCTGGCCTCTGCATATGCACAAGCACAGACACCACATGTGTACATACACTCTTACAGACATATGAACACAATTTTTAGAAACCAAAGATTAAAAAAAAAAACATAAAAACACTAATGGGGCTGGAGAAACGGCTCGGTACTTAAGAGCACTGGCTGTTCTTACAGAGGACCCAGGTTTGGTTCCCAGCACCTACATGGCAGCTAACAACTGTCCTTAATTGCAGTTCCAGGAGATCTTGAGCCCTCTTCTGGCCTCCACTGGCACTGCATGACATAGGTGCATATACATACATACATGCAGGCAAAACACTTATACACATAAAGATAAAAAACAACAACAATGAATTGAAATTTACTAATAACAGTAAATTTCCTCTCCCCCCAAACTGTACAAACTACTAGCTCTTTTGTGTTTTGTATGTGATGTATGGTGTGTGTGTGTTTGTGTGCACATGCGCACACACAGGTGTCTTCCTCTATCGGTCTTAGCTTTATTCCCTTGGGACAGGTCTTCGTTGAACCAGGAATCCACCATTTTTCACCTAGGCTGCCTGGCCAGCAGCCCCAGCGTCCTCTTGTCTCTGCCTCCCACCAACCAGGACGGGGCTACAGGTTCACACAGCCGCACTACTCATGCTAGGGGTCTGGACTTAGGTTCTCAGGATTGCACAGCAGGTGTTCTTTTCTACTGAGTCATCTCCCTGGCCTGTGGTAGCTGAGGCTAGCCTGGAACTCAATCCTGCCTTAGCCTTCCCACTGCTGAGCTTACAAATGTGTACTACAACACCCACTCTGAGGCAATACTCTTCACTTTTCTGGACCTGTTTCCTTAGCAAATGAAATGGGGTTCAAAGAGCCTGTACTGACACAGCATGTTCATAAGCATTAAACGCTCCACACCAGGCCCGCCCCGTACATACTTTACAAGTGTCAGCTATTGCACTTGTTTCATCATAGGAAAAGGCCTGTAAAACTTTGGGGCTTCTCCGCAGATTTCAGTGACAGAGTGCTTGCCTGGCGTGTGCAAGGCCTTGGGTTTCATCCCCAACACTGCAAAAAACAAAAATGAAAACCACTGGAATGGAAAAGTACCGTGAGTGACTGCTCAATGTATAGGTGCCTCCCGGCTGGGCCCAATCAGGCAGGACCAGGCACAGGGACTTGCCTCTGCCTGTTGAAGCCATGGAGCCCTGGGGTCTGGGGTCTCAGGGGCCGTGGCCCAGCTGAGCCTTCTCAAGAAGTCCCTGATGCACTTGGCTGACAAAGGTCTGAACCTACTCTCTCTAGGGATCCCACAGCATCAAGGAGAGGCTCCCGTTTTGGTTAAATACTCCAAGGAGGCCTGTAGGAGCAAGGGATGTTCTGCTCAGAGAGGGGCATGGGGGGTTCCTAGCCCTCTAGCCTTCTGCTCATGTGAAACAAGGTGGCTAGACCAGCCCTTTCTAGACTCCAGGCCCATATGTGAGGATATCACTACATCATCTTGGGGACCCCCTCAGAGGGCTTGGTGGACAATGCCCTTCCTCTGTGCCCCTGGGCCTGCCAGGAAGACACCTTCCCAAGGCTTTTCAATTCATTTGAGTAAAGCTGGGCACAGTGGTTCATGCCTGTAATTCTAACATAATAGGCTGAGACAAGAGGATCACCTAAGTTCAAGGACAGATTGGGTTACAGAGTAAGATCCTGTCTCAAAAACCAAAACCAAACAAAAATGTAGTTTGGGGCTGGAGAGACGGCTCAGTGGTTAAGAGTACTGACTGCTCTTGCAGAGGACCCGGGATCAATTCCCAGCACCCACATGGCAGCTACGAACTATCTGTAACTCTTCTGACAGGGAATCCCCAACACCCTCTTCTGACCTCCATGGCATTGCACAACATGGGTGTACTCACAAACATGCAGGAAATATATTCATACACATAAAATAAAGATAATAAATAAAATCTATTAAAAAAAAGAAAAAAAAAAAAAAAAAAAGAACTGGGTGTGGTGGCACATGCCTTTAATCCCAGAACTAGGGAGGCAGAGGCAGGCAGATCTCTGTGAGTTTGAGGCCAGCCTGGTCTCAATAGTGAGTTCTGGGGCTACTCGGAGACCCTGTCTCAAAAAGGCCAAAAAAAAAATTCAACTCCAAAGGCTGATGCAATGGTTCAGTGGGTAGTCACTTAACGGTGCAAGCCTGCCAACCTGACAATCCACGGAAAGATGGAAGAGAACAGACTCCACAAAGATCTTCTCTGACCTCCACGCGTCCACTATGGCACCCCCCCATTACACGCACCACACACGCACACACAGACACACATCCTACACATACACACAGACACATGCACTAATAATAAATAAAATCCTCCAAAAGTGCTGGGGGCCTGGCTCAGTGAAAAAGTACAATAAGATCATTATCTGAGGTCTTTTGGGCCACCCCCAGCAACACACGCACACAAACTCACAGACACACACACAGACGCACAGACACAGAGGCACAAAGGCACTCGCGTCTTCAGATGAGAGGGTCTTCCAGCAGCCACCTACACCCACCCAAAACGATATCTGGTGTGCTAGTCCTTAGGAGGAAATGAGCCCACATGGAGGCTGTATTAAAGTCCTCTCAGAGGGAAGCTTTCCTTGGTACTGATGCGCAAAGATTCTCCTGATATGCTGTGAATGAAAAGCATTGAGCAGCAGCACAGCCAAGCATAGGCTTGGAGGAAATGAAGAGAAGGACCAGGGCGATCTGTACTGTTGCCTGGGGTATGAAAACAAAAGTGAGCCAGAAGGGATGGCCCAGTCTGCTCAGGATGTGGAGGTGAGACAGCCAGTCTAGGTTACTCCACATGATGCTGTCTCAATTTAAAAACAAACAAATGGGCTAGAGAGATGGCTCAATGGTTAGGGGCACTGGCTGCTCTTGCAGAGGACCCAGGTTTGGTTCCCAGCACCCACATGGCAGCTAACAACTATCCTTAACTCCAGAACTCCAGTTCCAGGGGATCTGACACACTCTTCTGGCCTCTGCAGGTGTTATATGACATGAATGCACATATATACACACAGGCAAAACAACGCACATAAAATAAAAATAAATTAAAAAAAATTAAAACACACACACACACACACACACACACACACACACACACACACGCCAGGTGTGGTGGCCCACAACGTTTATTCCAGCACTCTGGGAGGAAGAGGTAGATAGAGCTCTGTGAGTTCCAGGCTAGCCAGAACACAGCCCTGTCCCAAAAAAAGAGCAAGTGAGCAAGTGAGCAAGAGAAAATAAACAAAAATGTGTAAGGGGTCTGGGATATGGCTCAGTTGATAAGAGTGCTTGCTGAGCATGCACAAAGTCGTAGGTTTGATCCCCAGCACCACATAAACTGAGGATGACAAAAAAGGGGCTGAGTATGATCAGAATACATTATACACACACGAAAATGTCACAGTGAAACATTAGTATAAATAATATAGGCTGCTAACAAACTTTCAAAGGGGGATGGTAAGCTGGCTCATCAGGCAAAGGTACTTACTGCCAAGCCTCACAACCTGAGTTTAATCTCTAGGACCCACATGGTGGAAGGACAGAACTTCAAGCTGTACACACACACACACACACACACACACACACAGTGGCACACGTGCAAGCTTGTACATGTGCATACACACAGTAAGTAAACGAATACAAAAATTTAAAACAAAAAAGAAAATCTGAACCCATATGGCTATTGGGGGGAGGGGAGGATGACGATGAGGGACAGGGCTCTGTGGCCGAGAAGGCTGGGGCATGCATGGCAGGAATGACACCCAGAGTCTGCACAGTGAGGAGAGTGCTCTCCTTCCCAGCTTCTCAGCATCCTGTGCCACACCCTTGGAGGACCCAGGCACCAAGCTCAGTCCCACAGCGTCCCACAGCAGCATGTGACTGGTGACTGCCCTGGAGATCACAGCAAGTCTTCTATTTTTCTTCAGTGCTAGGGCTAGAACTAAGGACCTCAAGCATTCTAGATAAGTGCTCTACCACTGTGCCATCCCCCACTAGATTTTTACCCTCCTTTTTTTTTCTCCGTCTTTTTGAGACAGGGTCTCCCTGTAGCCACAGCTGGTCTGGATTCACTATGGAGATCAAGCTGGCCTCAAACTCACAGAGATCCGCCTGCCTCTGCCTCCCGAGTGCTGGGACTAAGCAAGTGTGTGCCACCACATCCAGCTCTTTCCTTTTTAAGAGCCTCGCCAGGTGTGGTGGCGCATGCCTTTAGTCCCAGCACCGGGGAGGCAGAGGCAGGTGGATCACTGTGAGTTCAAGGGCAGCCTGCACTACATAGTGAGTTTAGGTAAGTCTCACTATGTAGTCCTGTCTGGCCAGAACTCCAGGCTGGTCTTGAACTCACAGAGATCTACCTGCCTCTGCTTCCAGTGCTGAGATTGAAGGTGTGCATCACCACACCCAGCTGAAAATGTCATTTATGGAGAGACTTGAATGTCCCTGGCCTTTTAGCACATGCTTGCTGCTGAGCACTGTACTTGTCCCTGCTGAACTGTCTTCACTCTACAATAAGCACAGATGACTTCTAAGCTCAGGGAGAAATCCAATACCATAGATTTCTAATTGCTCCTAAAAAAGTACTCTTCCCATCTCAGTAATTAGTGAGGAGCTCTATTTCCTGGGACAGTTTATTTTCAGCCAGATGTCCTGGTGCAGGCATGCAATCTCAGCAATTAGGAAGCCGAAGCAGGAGGATCAAAAATTCAAGGACTTGGACTAGTGAGATAGTTCAGTGGGTCAATGTACTTGCCACCAAGCCTGACAATCTAGAGTTGGATTCCAGGATCCACATGGTGTAAACAGTGACCTGATTTCCCAAGTTGTACTCTGACCTCCACACGCACCCCTTGGCATGTTCATTTTTATTCTCTCTCTCTCTCTCTCTCTCTGTCTCTCTCTCTCTCTCTCTCTCACACACACACACACTTGATCTCTCTCTAAATATAATAAAAGATCTTAAAAAAAAAAAAGTTCAAGGCCTGCCTGGGCTACACAGCAAATTCAAATCTAGCCTGAACAAATTAGTAAGACCCTGACTCAAGATAAATGGACTTAAGATGTGGCTTACTGGTAGAAAGAAATTCTGTCAGGCAAAACCTCTATCCCAGTATGAGCTGCCCTTCCTTCCTTCCTTCCTCTCTCCCTGGGGTTTTGTTCCCTGGAGCCCAAGTGCTCACCTGAACATCACGCCTTTGATAACCTGCCAGGCGTTGGGGGCTGGCTGGGGAGGGGGGTTCTGAGGCTGGGTCTCGGCCGGCGGGTCCCTCCCGATGCTGCCATTGCTGGTCACCTTCAAGGAGAACAGAGGGTGAGAAGGGGAATTAGGCCTGAGATGCCTGGGCTGCTGTGGGTACCGTGGCACCCAGGGGTGCAGACAGGCTAAACACAGCAGGGGCTTTGCCAATTCTCAGAGAACGTACACAACCAGGTGTGCCCAGGCTCAAGGCAGGGCTCCCTTCTGAGCTAATGACAGTGGGGACCCAGACCTGTCTCTAATCAGAAAGGGCTGGACTGGGAAGCAGGAGCCCAGAGACCTGTGGCCAGGCCTGTGGCTCAGGTGCCAACAGCTAAATTACAGAATGTTGGTAGACCAGGGAGGGGGCAGAGGTGCAGCCCAGCTGCGGACAGTCAGGCTGGGCACTGTCCATGGAGCACTGTCATGGAGTGCTGTCCAAGGAAGTCCTGTAACTGACACTAAAAGAGAGGGTTCCTGGGGTCAGACCATGGATAGCTGGGGTTATCCACAAGTCCTCAGTGTGCCCAGCTGTCCTTCAGGGACAGCAGGTGAGATAGACACAACAACATAGGTGTTGCCAAGCCTCATTACCCTGAGTCAGGTAGAAGTCACTTAGACACATCTGCAGTACACAGCCTGAAGCCAAAACTCTCAACAGCTGCATTCTACAACCTGGCAAACAAAAGCTCAGAGACACTAGGTTACTCAGAGCATAACAGAGAGATAGGATGTGTGGAAAGAAACTTCTCCCACCAGGCATGGCCCCTCAGGCCTGGAAGCCCAGCATATGAGAGGTAAAGGCAGGAGTTCAAAGCCGGCCTAGGTGGTCTCAAAACCAAACCAGAATGCTCTCTCAGAAGCAGAGGCCAGGGTGGGGTCTTCTTTCTCACTGCTTTTGAACCCTGCTGGTTCCATGTCCTGTCCTAGTCCCTCCTGCCAGCTGTCCCCTCATCTGTCAGCCTTAAAGAGGCAGGACTAGCGAGCACCACCATGGGCATCACTCAGAAGAGCCACACCACCTGATCCACACATGCACAGTGCTCAAAGACCACCCACATACACTGTCCCCAGGCCCAGATCCTGGCCCTCTTCCCCAGAACCCTGAGCCCATTCCTACAGCACAGCATTGTCCCTGCTCTCCTCATACCCAGTGCCTAGGGAACATGGTGGCCATGGGACTGGGTCAGGAGTCAGTTGTCACTTCTAGCCTCCTTTTTATTATTTTTATGTGTATGAGTACTGCCTGCACGTGTGTAAGTGCACCCATACTTTGCAATGCCTGAGATCAGAAGAAGGCATCAGATCCACTGGAACTGGATGTTTGTTAGCCACCACATGGGTGCTGGGAATCGAACCTGGGTCCTCTGTAAAAGCAATCGGTGCTCTTAACACTGAGCCATCTCCCCAATTCCCCAAGACCTCTTTATTATTTTTGTTATTTCCCAAAGTGCAGGACAACACTAAAGTTGGGGGATGAGGGTCAGGCAGCAACTGAGGTCAGGCAGATCCCAGCTGCAATCCTGGGCCCACAGTTCTTGGTTGTGACTCCCCTCAAACATGTCACTTCTGTCTTCCCTGAGGACCAGTTTTCCTTTTTAAATTTTATTTATTATTTTTATTTTATGTGTATGCATGTATCGCCTGCATGTAGGAAGTGCACCCGTGTTGTGCAATGCCTGTGGAAGACAGAAGAGGCTATGAGATCCCCTGGAACTGGAGTTACGGACAGTTGTTAGCTGCCATGTGGGTGCTGGGATTCGAGCCTGGGTCTTCTGCAAAAACAACCAGTGTTCTTAACCACTGAGCCATCCCTCCAGCCCTCAGGACCAGTTTTTGAGAATACTGGTACTGAGTGGACAAGAAGCATCCCTCCACTGGGTCCCAACACTGTTTCTGCTCACCTACTGCTCCCAGGCCCTAGGGGTGTGGGTGGAGAGATGCACGTAGGGAACCGCAAACAGGGTGCAAGCCAGCAACCCCAGCACCTGCGAGAGGCTGGCAAACCAAGTTTTTA